TAAAGATCGATATATTGGATGACTATATTCGGACACCGGAAAGGTTCCAAGTGATTCGGGTAAATTTCGGAGTACCGGAGAGTTACGGGAATTCGCCGGGAGGGTCAATGGGCCTTCATGGGCCTTAGTGGAAATAGAGGGCAGCAAGGAAGTGTCGGGTGTGCCCCCCTAGGCCCAAACCGAATTGGTTTAGGGCTTTGGGGGCCGTCCCCCTCTTTCCTTCTCCCCTCCTCCTCTTTCCTTCCCCTCCTAGTTGGACTAGGAAAAGGGGAACCCACTCCTAGTAGCAGTAGGATTCCCCCCTTGGGGCGCACCCTATGAGGCCGCCGGCCCCCTCCCCTTGCTCCTTTATATACAGGGGCAAGGGGGCACCTCTAGACACAACAACAATTGATCTCTTGATCTCTTAGCCGTGTGCGGTGCCCCCCCTCCACCATAGTCCTTGATAATATTGTAGCGGTGCTTAGGCGAAGCCCTGTGACGGTAGAACATCAAGATCGTCACCACGCCGTCGTGCTGACGGAACTCTTCTCCGACATTCTGCTGGATCGGAGTACGGGGATCGTCATCGAGCTGAACGTGTGCTAGAACTCGGAGGTGCCGTAGTTTCGGTGCTTGATCGGTCGGGCCGTGAAGAAGTACGACTACATCAACCGCGTTGTTCTAACGCTTCCGCTTTCGGTCTACGAGGGTACGTGGACAACACTCTCCCCTCTCGTTGCTATGCATCACCATGATCTTGCGTGTGCGTAGGATTTTTTTTGAAATTACTATGTTCCCCAACAATAACGTATATCACATCATGTCTTGACCATATCACATCACAAGCATGCCCTGAAAAAACAGGTTAGACGTCCTCTACTTTGTTGTTGCAAGTTTTACGTGGCTGCTACGTGCTTCTAGCAAGAACCGTTCTTACCTACGGCAGAAAAACCACAACGGTGATTTATCAAGTTTGATATTTTAACCTTCAACAAGGACCGGCCGTAGTCAAATTCGATTCAACTAAAGTAGGAGAAACAGACACTACCAGCCACCTTTATGCAAAACTAGTTGCATGTCTGTCGGTGGAACCAGTCTCATGAAAGTGGTCATGTAAGGTTAATCTGGGCCGCTTCATCCAACAATACCACCGAATCAAAATAAGACATTGGTGGTAAGCAGTATGATGATCACCACCCACAACTCATTGTGTTCTACTCGTGCATATCATCTACACATAGACCTCGCTCGGATGCCACTATTGGGGAACGTAGCATGCAACTTCCAAAAAATTCCTATGCTCACGCAAGATCTATCTAGGAGATGCATAGCAATGAGAGGGGGAGAGTGTGTCTACATACCCTCGTAGACCGAAAGCGGAAGCGTTTGACAACGCGGTTGATAGTCGAACTTGTTCTCGTTCGGACCGATCAAGCACCGAACGTACGACACCTCCGAGTTCTGCAAACGTTCAGCTCAATGATGTCCCTCGAACTCTTGATCCAGCAGAGTGTCAAGGAAGTAGATGAGTTTCGTCAGCACGACGGCGTGGTGATGATGATGGTGAAATGACCCGCTCAGGGCTTTGCCTGAGCACTACGAGAATATGACCGGAGGCGTAAACTGTGGAAGGGGGCGCCGCACATGGCTAACAATAGTTGATGTGTGTTCTAGGCGCCCCTTCCCCATGTATATATAGGTGGGAGAGGGAGGGGAGCAGCAGGGGGCGCCCCAAGTAGGAGAACCCTACTTGGGAGCCTCCCCCAATTCGGCCTCCCCCATTTCCTTATTCACCGGAGGGGAAAGGAAGGAGGAGGGAGGGGGGAAGGAAGGGGAGGCCGAAACCCACCCCTTCCTTTCTCTCTTCCACCTCTTTCCTTCCCTCGGGTGCGGCCCATATGGGGGGCGCAGCAGCCCCTGCTAGCTGTTGTGTTCCCCTCTTGGCCCATTAGGCCCATATCTTTGCCGAGGGGTGCACGGAACCCCTTCCGGTGACCCGATATGTACCTGATACCCTCCGGAACACTTCCGGTGTCCGAATACTATCTTCCTATCTATCAATCTTTACCTCTCGACCATTTCGAGACTTCTCATCATGTCCATGATCTCATCCAAGACTCTGAACAACATTCGGTCACCAAATTACATAACTCATATAATACAAAATAGTCATCGAACGTTAAGCGTGCAGACCCTACGGGTTCGAGAGCTATATAGACATGACCAAGACACCTCACCGGTTAATAACCAATAGCGGAACCTGGATGCTCATATTGGCTCCCGCATATTCTACGAAGATCTTTATCGATCGAACCGTTATGACAACATACGTTATTCCCTTTGTCCATCGGTATGTTACTTGCCCGAGATTTGATCGTCGGTATCTTCATACCTAGTTCAATCTCGTTACTGGCAAGTCTCTTTACTCGTTCTGTAATGCATCATCCTGCAAGTAACTCATTAGTCACTTTGCTTGGAAGGCTTCTTATGATGTGCATTACCAAGAGGGCCCATAGATACCTCTCCGATACTTGGAGTGACAAATCATAATCTTGATATATGCCAACCCAACAAACACCTTCAGAGATACCTGTAGAGCATCTTTATAATCACCCAGTTATGTTGTGACGTTTGATAGCACGCACGGTATTCCTCCTGGAGTTGCATAATCTCATAGTCAAAGGAATATGTATTTGACATGAAGAAAGCAATAGCAATAAAACTGAACAATCATAATGCTAAGCTAACGAATAGGTCTTGTCCATCACATCATTCTCCTAATGATGTGATCCCGTTTATCAAATGACAACACATGTCTATGGTTAGGAAACTTAATCATCTTTGATCATGAATAATAAACATTTATCATGAAATAAGGAAATATAAAATAACAACTTTATTATTGCCTCTAAGGTATATTTCCTTCAGACACATGAGGGCAGGCGTCGAGAGGATCGGTCGTCTAGGCTCGCGAGGAGGGCGGCGATGGGAGGATTGCGTTAATGGTACCGTGTACAAAAATCCCATAAAAGCAAGTAAAATATCCCGGCAATGCTTAATTAATTGTGATTTATTTTTTACAGGCATTTTCGGATTTGTAGGGCATGTGCCCATGATCTATGACTGATGATAAGAAAGGAAAAATTACATCAATGTAAGAAAATATTCCATCAATGATTGATTGATTGCGATTTATTTTGGGTCCTGATAACGCCCACCCGTGTGGCATACTAGACATCCATACATACACCGTGTGTGGCGTGAGCAGGAGCCAGCCCACACGGGCTGTGTCTGGGCGAACATTAGAATTGCCCACATGTGTGGGCGCGGCTATTTCGTGTCACACGCCCAACAAGTACTACTCATCCTCAGCCTTGCATGTGGCACGAAGTAAATATGCCCACACATCTTGGCGCAGCTACATTAGGTACCCGCGGGATGATGATTTAGTTGCCATCCGGGATGACAAATGTAGTTATCCGAGATGGCAAATGTAGTTGTAAAAGCATGTCAACTCTCTCTGTTTTGGTTAACTATAGTTGCCATGTCTAATTTATGGTAGTTATCGCGTGTAAACAAACCATAGTTGTCGTATGTGATTAACTACTTGCCACATATGGTCAAACAATAGTTGGCACGTGTGTTTACCTAGTTGCCACGTGTGGTTAATCACAGTTCTCATGTATGTTTATCTGGTTGCCACGTACGCGCAACTGCAGTTGTCGTCTAGCAACGAATCATAGTTGCCATGTGTGCTTACCTAGTAGCCACGTACGCGCAACTGCAGTTGCCATCCAACGACGTACGAGTGTCGTGTGGGCGAAAAGTAGTTCGCCCACACGAGCGTGGACTAGGTGGTGGCTGTGTGGGTAGAAACTAATTCGCCCACACAGCGTGGCTGGCAAACCGCGTGTTGCGGGGCGTGTGGGCGAACTCTCCAACGCCCACACACACGATGATGCCCCCGTGGCACTCAGATTCTAACAGATTCCTTTAGGATTCCTGCAAAACAGAATCAATGTGGATCAAGGTGTGTGGGCGATGTGCAAACATGCCACACTTATGGGTGTTATCATTTGGGTTTATTTTTTATATGGTAACTAATCTGATGGGTTTATGTCGGTGGTGAAGCGAAAAGGCGGGTGGGAGGGGAGATGAAAAAAAACCAGACGAGAGAAACCGGACGAGGGGGGGGGGAACGTGGATGCCAGCCTACCAACTGCTTCACTAGGAGTAGAGATAGGGAAACAATATAAGGAATTTTCTCATTGTGATACGTGATCATATGAGGGCGTCGCTTCGACGGTTGTGTTTTTTTTCCTAGTGGAGCTAAGTATGGAAGGGGATCGGTGGGGGAAATAAATCGGAGAGGGGGGTGATTTGTTTGGAAGGTGATCTCATATATATGGTATTATATTTAAATTCTTAATTATCAAATATTTACATGATTGAATTGAATCAACACCTGCCAAAGCAATCACGAATAAATAGAAGGAGTATCAGACGCGACTTGGTTTTAAATGCGAAGAAGAAGAAAATGAACGTGGAAGGGGTGGTGGGAGGTGAGACGAAAATAAACCCGATAAAAATTAATCAGACGGAAAAAAACCATGGACTATTCTACTAACTGAGACATTAGGAGTAGAGATGAGTGCAAATTTGAGAACTAGACCGTGAGGTACATATATAGAAACACTACCTTGCCTAATTTATACTCGGTGCAAGTCCGTGTACTTTTTTCCCTGCTACTAGTACTTGTCCGTAAACTCAGAAAACACTAACAAACTGAAGTGCATGCCAATGCAAAGTAGGAGGAGTAGCACGAGAGAGATAGTCCATTTTTTCTTTCATGAAATTGCTCTATTTACGGACTCCAGTCCGTCAAGCCTCTCCTCTTCTCGTATCATAGGCAACCCTTGTTGTTCCACAAATATTCGAAGCTGAATGCGCCCGCGCTCCTCTCCACTGTTCGTTGGACCGGTCCAAGTTCAGAAACACGCTCCGTCAAGCTGAGACCATCATTCGCGCTCAACAACAACGGCCACCGACTCGGCCACGTCTCCGGACTCCCTCCGGCCCGCTCGCCTCCTGTGGCGCCCCTCCCTGCTGCCACCGCCGCTGCTGCCGTTGTCAGGCGGCGCAACGTAGACGAACGGCCCGGCGAGGCTATCCTCTTCGAGCGCGAGGAGCGGCTCGAGCGCGCTGACGACGGCGGACATGTGCGGGCGGGACTTGGGATTGAGGCTGACGCACTTGTAGGCCAGTGCGGCGGCCCTCTGCGCGGCCCCGCCGGCGTACTGCCCGGCGAGGTTTGGGTCCATGACGCGGTCCAGGCGCCGGGAGTCGTTGAGGTAGGGGCGCGCCCAGTCCACCAGGTTCTGCTCCCGCGGCGGCCGGCTCTTGTCCACCGACTTGCGCCCCGTCAGCAGCTCCAGCAGCACCACGCCGAAGCCGTACACGTCGCTCTTGGCCGTCAGATGCCCTGGAGATTCAGATTCAAATTTGAATGAGAAAAAATGCATGCATGTAACCGAACTCCGGATTCAACACTGATAAACATTTCCCGTTATCTGTATCTGTGCGTTGGCAAACATTTTTACCTGTCATAATGTACTCCGGCGCGGCGTAGCCCTGCGTGCCCATGACCCGGGTGGAGACGTGCGTCTCGTCTTCTTCCGGTCCATCTTTGGCTAGCCCGAAATCCGACAGCTTCGCTTTGTAATCCTAACAATGGTTCGAAATTGAAAAGGGTCAATGTTGCTACTCAACTGCTCCTGCACGATAAATTATATTGCTATATAACTGAACCCAGCTATAACCACATAATGCACCAGACTACTAGAGCTTAGAGGTATGTTTGCACCAGGAGTCAGTCACTTAGTGGGTAAGACCGAACGAAACTAATAAGACACACTAGCGGCGTGTCATTTGTGCCAAGAGTCAGTCGCTGGATCAGTGGGTAAGACTGAACCAAACTAATCCAACAACTATGCTAATCGACAATCTGATCAATCACATCACTCTCTATACGCATACAGTCAGCACTACGAGTCAGTCTCAGTACGGGACGGATCCGCAGCAATAGTTGAAACTGAAAACCCGACCCAGTCCAGTTCACAGTGTACAAGTCAACACTTGTTGTTCAGTGGTTGGCATTTGGCAGCCAGACAAGTTCAGCAGTTTAGTTTACTCGCCGGGAAAGACCAAACCCACCACCAAGTCGTATCTCTGGAAGTAGTAGTACAGAGAGGGGTAGGGTAGGTGTGAAGGATCAATCACGGACGGACGGACGGAGGTACATACCGAGTCTAGCAGGATGTTGGAGGTCTTGAAGTCCCGGTAGATGACCGGGTTCTCGGCCTCATGGAGGAACGCCAACCCTTTGGCGGCGCCCAGGGCGATCTTCAGCCGTGTTGACCATTGCAACGACGCCGCGTATTCTGCAACCAAAGTTGGAAGAACCATGTATAATTAACCAAGCAATGGGTGCACATGGTAACAAAAATATATGCAATTAAGCAAGAACAGGTATCACGTACGTGTTCACTCGATTCTGAGTGCTACCCTGTTGCTCTCACTAACAAAGCATCAAACATCTTTAATTTTTGTCCTTTCTCCTACGATGATCGCGATGAATCCCGCATTATGTGGTCGGCTCAGTTCGCAACTTTTGACTTGGGAGCGATCGAGGTGTATTAGCTGGAGTACGTACGTATTTATCCAAAGCCACGCGTTGGAGGCCCAAGTTTAGTGAAAAAACTTTGCATAAAGATAAAGCGAAACAACTACTATGAGAGACAAAAAGGACAGGAATTGGTGCAGGTGTCCTATCCGTCTACCGCCTTTTTAATTTTTGGCGGGAACCTTGTGATTAAGCATCGACGAATTCGACAGGCGGCAGGGGACGCAGCACCAAAAGAGCAAAAAGGAATGCGGTGTGAAGATAAAATATCAAAGTGGTTAACCGAAAACAACCCCAAATCTCTCCGATATATACGATCTCCGTGTACATATGCCAAAGAGATCAGATGATGCAACGCCGGAAATGGACAGGTGGTTCAGAAAGGCGGTTTGAATCCGTCGGGGGAAAGGGGGAGGGGTGAATTAACTAAAATCAATTAGAAAACTGATGAAGGTTTGGTGTGGAGCAAGGAAAGCCACTGGATCCGTCGAGCGGGTTGGTAAAACGGCAGCCTCCGGTTCGAGTTGGATCGATGTGTGACTCTGGAATCTCTCTCCCTTTTGGGTTGATGAATGATGCGGCGAGGGAAAGGAGACCGTCGACAGCAATGTTTCAAGGAATATCCCTTTCTTGTGGGCTGCTAGATTAACACTGCGTGCCACACTAGCTACTTACACTATTCCCTCTTTTCTTTTCTTTTTTTGTGTTTAACTCTTTAACACACATATTCTAACCACACACACACGTACACGAGGAGATCATTAAGCACTTAACCAAAGTTGTGATAGGTATCAGGAACTTTTCAGAACGGGTAGTTTTTTTTTAAACCGTAACCCAAATTGTGATAGTTTTATGCTATTTACGCCTCCTTTTCTTTTCTTTTTTGCGGTGTACTTACCCTGTTCAAGCAACCTCCATGCTTAACTCTTAACACATACAGTACATGATTAAGCACTCTAATGTACATGTTTTTTTTTACCTTTGGACCATGCCAAGTAAAAACAATATTTCGAAGTTAACGTAGAAATGCAAGAAATAAGTAAATATTTTGAGGTTTTTCTGAATCTACTTACTTTTGAAGAGAAGTTTCTCCAGGCTGCCCCTGGTCATGAACTCGTACACGAGGAGCCTGTGCTCATCCTCGTAGCAATAACCAATCAGTTTGACCAGGTGAGGATGCCTCAACTGCCCCAGGAATATGACTTCAGTCTGAATCATGGAAAAGTTCACACAGTTAGTTTTGTGCCGGTCAGTCGGGTGTACTCCATGTGAAATAGAAATCGTCAAGAAATCACACATGTAAACGTGCTAATTCACCACTACCATCCTTCAAACTAATCAGGCAGAAGGGTAAATTAACAATGGCAGTTCAGACAAGCAAGCAAACACTGTTTTATTGAAATTGTCCATGGCGTGCGTGTTGTCAAGCATCCACATACAACCAAAACATTCTTAAAAGATGAGACGTTCATCATGTCGAGAGAATATGTCAACACCAAGGAAACTTCCACTTGTAAGAAAGGACTTCGTGTGTGGTTTGGAATATTCAGAAATCAAGTTGAAATATAAAAAACATATAGAGGTAGGTATGCTACCAGTCTACAACATTTATACTAATCAACTGCAATAATTAAGGAGACCATTTTTTCTTCTAAGTCGATCTCACGGTCTGCTGAATTAAGAAAAATACATCATCATTTCAAAAAACTTACGCAAACTTCTAAAAAAAAACTTACAAACCCATTTCAGAGGGAAAAAACTGCATGCAAAAATAGCTTTCAACTTAACTCGAATGCTTGTATATATCATTATAAAAAATGGTTGCTAACTGACGCAAACTTGTGATAATTATTCAGAGCAGCTCAACTAACTTTGAACAAGCAGGACTCATTGACAAATTAAAGTAGAGTAATCCTACGGTGTATTTCCCGTAAACCCATGGATGGATGTACGTATAACTACAAATTGAACACAACATTTCCATTAAATTTTTCTCCAACTGGCAGTATAATACTTAACTATACTCTAATTCAGCAAGTAGTTTAATTGCCGGGCCAAGACCTAGAAGTAGATTAATTGACTAAGTACGTGTATAGGACAAGTGGTAATAAATTAGGTCTGCACTTGTTAGTAATTTTTGGTAATGAAGCAGGAAGAGCTAGGCGGCGAGTGCATACGTACCAGCCACTCGTTGTGCCCCTGGTTCCCCTCGAGGTCGAGCAGCTTGACGGCGACGGGCTGCGCGCGGAGGCCGGGCTTGACCTTCTCGTCGACGTAGCCCTTGTAGACGGGGCCGAACCCGCCCTCGCCGATGAAGTTGGTCATGGAGAAGTCCCTGGTGACGGCGCGCAGCTCGGCGATGGTGAAGATGTGGAGGTCGGACCCCGCCAGCGACAGCGACAGGTCCTCCGGCGACACCATGCCGCCGCTCATGCTGAGGTCCGAGAAGGACATCCGGCCGTGCAGCGACCGGCTCGGCCTCGGCGCCTTGCCCGCCGCCGCCACCTTCTTCTTGCTCTTCTTCTTCTTGGAGGCCTTGCCCTTTTTCTCGCCCTTGCCGGCGGCGGCTGCGGCGGCCGCGGCCTCGGCGTGCGAGCTGAAGCACCCGAACAGGGACCTCCACGCCGACCTCGCCATCCGTGCGTGCCTTCCGCGTGTGCGCGTCGCTCTGCTCTACCTGCTGCTTTGGCCGTATCGGGGTATATATACACCACACGGGTGGGGGTGGGGTGGGGTGGGGGTGCACTGGTGCGAGGCGCCGGCCGGAGCTCGTCTTGGTCGCGGCTCGCTCGTGTGGGGTGGTGCGGATCAACGGCGGGGTGCGGTCCGGTGTGACGTGGCGGGGGCAGCTGCAAGGATGGACGGACGGGATGGCGTTTCTTTTTCTTTGACCCGGGCGGGTCGTTGACAGCGCGGCGCGGGGAAGGGAAGGGAGGTTTCTGCGCGCGCCGTCAGTTGGAACGGCTCGTATCTGGCGTTCTCACCAGAGCACGCCGTGCGTCTGATTAGAGACGGACGGTCCAGATGGGGCTGATGTGGTACGTAGGATGATCTTGTGGTACGTGTACTTTGTGCGTCCGTTTCAGATTGGACCGACGAGAGCGCCAAATGGTTCGAGAAAGATTCATCGACAGCTAGCAGAGGGCCAGTAATTTCTTTCTCTACAGTTTCCAGGAAGGCGGTAATTTTCTCTCTACCCTTTTTTTTGCGAGGCAAATTTCTCTCAACTTGTGCGTTTCTTCTTGGTTAATTTGGTTAGAACGGTAAATTTGCTAAAAAAGATACTCCCTCTGCCCCAAAATAAGTGTTAGTACAAAGTTGTACTACAGTCGAGACATTTATTTTGGAACGGAGGGAGTAATAAATAAATCTGTTTAAATTTGTGTTTCTTTGTAGTGAAGCCTACCCTTGATGTGCTTCTGAGGCCATGTACGATCATGCATGGCGATCGTGTTGGTACTTCGGCATACCTTTTCGTACTTACACTTTATGTACGTGCTCATTCATGCAAAGCCTGTACTGAATGTTGATGTATAATGTGTTGCCTAGCCTCTTTCATTAGATCGGTCTTTTGATTGCATTCGCTAGAGCATGCACTTCTACATGATATCGGAGCCAAGAGGTCTTGAGTTCAAGACCCGACTGACGTAATTAAATTACAGCCCACTTTCGGTCCACGTTTAGGCCTGAGAAAGCCACACATAAGGGGGAGTGTTGACGTATAATGTGTTGCCTAGCCTCTTCCATTAGACCGATCTTTCGGTTGCATTGGCTAGAGCATGCACTTCTACATTGAAGACACACCTTTTGTACTTGCAGGTTCTCACGCGATATCTGTACTTTATTCATGTATATATATGTACAACTTGTACTGACGACATAAGCGAAATGTGTATCTTTCAGGGCCCCTTGCACCGCATGAAACTTGCCAGTCACGTTGCTCATCTTGGGTTGCGTGAGACTGGGACCGATAGCTACGGCCCAGAGGCCAGGAAAACGGGAATTTAAATGCACATGTCGCGGCACAACAGCAGACGATGCTAGCTTCAGCTCGGCATTCTTTTCTTGAAACGGCAGTGGAGGTTAGCTGGACGCGCACGAACCATCCAAAACTTGTGTTAAGAAGAAGAAGAAGATGAAGAAACCATCGAAAACTTGTACCATCTGGCTCCGATGCTTCAGCATTAATTTAGCGTCGAAACAACGAGAGAACTCTGAACTCTCTGTTGCTCGTCAAGAGAAAAGCTCTGATGAAACTCTGTTATGCATGGTGGCCATGGATCAGTGGATCACCACGGTTCAACCGATCGTTCGGTGGTGGATCACCATGTCAATTTGTTTGGCTCTGGAGCACACGCATGCCGTAGTTCATAAGTAATTGAGCAGCCCCATGCAACCGCCTCCCTTAGAATAATGGGTAGGCCCGAGTAAGGTGCCCTTGCTCTGTTATGTTGTTATCGCCTCAACCTCTATCAGTTGGAAGCTTCTTCTTTCGTCTCCGGAGTGGTACTTCAGTCGCTACCACCACAAATATCGCGTGCACAAAATTCTATTTCAAGCTAATTCATGGCTCGACATTTGTGCATCGAGTACACGCATGCGGCACATCATATTATCAACCTTGTGTATCAGGTCCACACATGTGGTTGTCCTTGTAGTTGAAACACTGGTTCCAAACATATGAAATCGGTGGGGGCGCTCCATTTTTGCAAAAGAAAAAGAAGAGCAAACACATGCGGCACGCCACATTATCCGATGGACCCATCCCGATCATAGCATGGATCCTCCCTCACCCTGCGGTAACCACAACTGCGACGTTAAGACGTTGATTTTGGCCTCATACGGCATGATCATTCCCTTGATGATGATAGGTAGCATGTAGAAGCTTTGCTTCCCATCCCTCTTCACAATCACAACGCCAAAACAAACTGATATATGCCATGTTGTGTTGTTTTCGCCTGAATATCTATCAGTTGGAAGCTATTTTCGTTGTTTCCTATATAAGTGTTACTTCACTCTCCACCACCAAAAAATGTCACGAGCACACGATTCCATTTTAAGCTAATATGTGGCTTGACATCGTATGTTTTTTGTAATCATGTGCAACAAGTACACACATGCGACACATTACATTAGCAACATTGTGCGTGAAGTATACACATCCGGTTGTCTTGTAGTTGAACAATGGTTTCATATATATGGAATCCGAGGGAGTGCTCTCTTTTTCAAAAAGAAAAAAGAACATGTTGCAGATCAAATAATCTGATGAACTCATCCCAGTCATGGCATGGATCCCCACGGTAACCACACAACTATGACGTTCGGTGGTGTTTTTGGCCTTATTATATGCATGGTGTCATCATCCCCTTGATGATGATAAGTTGCCTGCTAAAGCTTCTATTCCCATCTCTCTTCCCAGTCACAACAAAAATCACCAAGGGCTTGTCTGGTTTGGTCACTTAAGTCAAATTCTCGCTCAATCCCCTCCAATCCAATTGGGAAGGGGGTTAACTGAAGAAACCCTAATAGGTGCAAACAAGAGCTAGCTAGTGGGAATTTGATTCTTCCCTGGTAGAACATCACCTCCGAATGTCTCGATGAATTAATGTGCCTCAAGATCTCTTCAGGATTGACCACATCCAAGCCTTGACCCCGAAAACCATATGTAGTGGGGTCAGTGGGACCGATTCGGTGCATTTTTTAGTGAGAAGTGAATGGAGGAGCCCAGTCGCGGGATTTCCACGACAAGCCCCCCTCACCACCACAATCACTACCAATGCATCCTTGGTTGCCAAAGTGGTTCTGGTTTGCTACTTGCCATCTATAGCCCTTTGGCTTGGAGAAATCACCTTAGTCGTTCTCCCCGTTTCTGTTCAACATGGTAGTCGGTGCCCTAGCGGTCATCCTTGATAAGGCCAAAGCGTGTGGCCATATCCGCGGCGTAGTCCCCCACCTGGTGGGAGGGGGAGGGGTCTCCCTCCTCCAATATGCGGACGATACCATAGTAATGGTGGAGGGATCCGCGTCCGACGTTGCCAACCTGAAGTTCCTCCTCCTGTGTTTCCAACAGATGTCTGGGCTCACCATCAACTTTTATAAGAGCGAAGTGATGGTCCTTGGCTATCCTCCGGAGGAGGCTCTGTCCATTGCGGACCGGCTGAACTGCCGCCTGGGTTCCTTCCCCACGACTTACTTGGGGATACCCATTAGTGACTCCAGGCTCACTGTAGCTGACCTCCGCCCGACTGTGACTAGGATGCAGCACCGGGTTGAACCCTGGAGGGGGAGGTGGCTATCGAAAGCATTCATGGTAATCCTAATCAACTCTTCGCTTGCTAGCCTTCTCTGGTTTCTCATGAGCTTCTACGGCCTCCATGAGACCCTCCATCAGGAGGTTGCCAAATACCAGTCGAGGTTTTTTTGGGCTGGTGAGGGCGACAAGCAGAAGTATCATATGGTGAGATGGCCAGACATTTGCAAGCCCAAAAACCAGGGTGGCCTTGGGATCTTGTCATCTCGATGCATGAACATTGCTCTCCTGACCCGCTGGCTTTGGCGTATCACCAATGGGGAGGGAGGCCTCTGGCTTACCATCATCCGTAATAAGTACCTTAGGGGCCAACCTCTTGCCTTTTGCCAGCGTTCGGGTGGATCCCAGTTCTGGCAGTCTGTGATCTAGCTTCTGCCCGTCCTCCGCATCAGCACGTCCATCTCGGTTGGCTCCGGGTCCTTGACCCTGTTCTGGTTCGACCGTTGGTTAGGGGACTCCCCCCTGGCTGCACGATTCCCAGAACTATTTGCCATTGCGGCCGACCCTCGGGTCTTTGTCGAGACGGCCCTTATTGACTTAGGGCGTCTCGCTTTCCGGCGCCCCTTCGGTCCCCATGAGGTGGCTGCTTGGGACTCCCTCCTCCAGGACATCGCCCTTATGCCGATGAACGTCGAGGAGGCCCAGGATTCCCTTTACTGGCGCCTTGAGCCGTTTGGCCGCTTCTCCACGAAGTCCTTGTACGCCGCCATTGCTCCTTCGGCGGCCCCGGAACCCTTTAGCCTGATCTGGGACATCCGCCTACCTCTGAAGATCAGGATTTTCCTGTGGCAATGGATCCGTGGACGCCTTCCCTCTGGGGTTGAAGTCCTCAAGCGTAAAAGCCCGGGCGATGGGATGTGCCCCATCTGTGGCACGATCGAAGATGCTAACCACATCTTCTTCGCGTTCTCTACTGCCCAGTTCCCATGGGCTTGCTTCCGCGAAACGGTCGGTGGACAGTGGTGCAATACCAACTTCCCCGACTTACTTGCGGAGCTCAACACTTCCCCTCCTCGCTACCGCCATATTAGATGGCTGTGCGTTGGGGTTCTCACCTGGATGCTTTGGACCATCCGCAATAAGCTTGTTATTCAGAAAGTGCCTCTCCGACGTGCGACTGATGCAATCTTCAAAACGTGTGGCTACTTGCAGCTTTGGCGGCCGCTTAGCCGCCCCCAGGACCGGGACGTCATCACCACCCTCCTCGCCGACCTCCGCTCGATGGCTCTCCGCGTGGCACCCCTACTGCCGCCCCCTCCCCCAGAACCGGACTAGGTTGTCTGGTTGCTTTGTGGAGTGTGTGTTTTGTGTTTAGGGCTTGTTTTGT